GAATAAAACTAACATGGAGGTACATGGGAACTATGTTAAATTTGTTGTTAGTGGCCTCTTTGGAACTGATACAATTCCTCAACACAATTATTACTTGCTTATTGGCCTTACAAAGCACTCCTTTCTCTCTCCAAGTCAACAGCTCCTGCTTATTATCTTTCACCCTTAGCATTTGATTTCATTTGGAAAGTCAAAAAGGGAAAGAGAAGAAGAGGAAGAAAATAGAAAACAAGAAGAAAGGGAGAAGGAGGGAGGGAGGAAGGAAAGAAGGGAGGAAGGGAGGAAGGAAGAAAGGAAGGAAGGAAGGAAGGAAGGAAGGAAGGAAGGTTTCTAAATCTTTTCGTCAATCTTACATGTTTTCACTTTCATATATAATCAATCTCCCCTTTCTTTCCTTTTATAAGAGCAGGATTGGGTGTTGCTCTTAACTAGATAAAATCACTCAACAAAGTGCAGTCTGAAGAACCACTGCCCTTTCCTTTCTCCTTTGAAATATGCTCTTCTCTTAGACTCTTTGACACATTCATCATTTTGTCCCTTTCATGGTTTTTCTTTTCATGTTCTTTTTTGCCCTCACAGTTGGCCTGTTACACTTTGGAAGGCATAGACTGTCTCATCGCTCTTGAAACTCTCTTAGTAGATAATTTCATAATGAGTTCTAGACAAAGTCAGGCAACTGCATTCTCTAAAAGTATTTGAAGCATGCCAGCTTTGTTTCACGTCTACTACCATCTAGTCTAAATTGCCATCGTGTTTCCACAGATCTGCTAAAATGGGCTCCTGGGTATCTCATATTACAATTAAATGTGTTATTTTAAAGCATACATTTTTTTATGCCACTGGATTACTTAAAATCTTGCTCTGGGTTCAAGTGCAAAAACTATTAACTACCATCCAGAACTTGTTTACACATAGGACTCCTCAATTTGCCATTGCTTTCACAGGGCATAGAGCAGCCTAGCTAGAGACCACATTTGCTGTGCTCTGTTGTAGACAGACATGGCCAGTAGGGTTCCACCTTCTACACAGGCAGTTTCTTGTCATCGGCTTCCCCTTCCCTCTCCCAGGGAGGTGTCTTGGGCTGGAAGACAGAAGCTTCTTGCAAAGCATGGCAACACCATTGTAGTGTGCTAACCACTGCTGTGTTCCAGGAAAAGAAGGGAGACAGAAAAATATATACATGCACACAAACAGAAAGGGCGAGAAGGAAAAAAGAGAATGAGAGTGAAAAAAAGAAAGGTATTTCCTCATCCAAGCCATCATAAACACATATTCATGGTCTCTTTACAGGAACAGCTAAAGCTGCTTCTTGACTGATATTTCATCATTACAGTAGAATCAGGAGCAGGCATGTTAATGTAGCTTTGAAGGCTTTGCGTGGTCCGTTGACTTCTACCTGCCTCAGTTTCCCTTTATCTCTCCTCCCATTTTCTGTGCCCTAACTCTTCAAGAGCTTTTTGGTTTTTGAAAGATGCTGAACTCTTTTCTACCTAAGGTGCTTACACATTTCTTTTGTTCTGCCAGGGATGTCCTTTTCTGTCCTACCCCTGCATTTTCTAACAATATTCATGCTTCAAATTTAAACACTAAATCATCCATCACAATCATTTGGTGCTCCTCACCACCACCACTGCAAAGAGTTTTATCAGATACCATTGTTGAATAGTCTAATATCTTACCTTTTTAGTTGCAAAATAGTCTTACATGAAAGTTACACATACATACATAATGTATATTATAAAATATTCCTATAAGTCATAATATCCCCCAAACTCAATTAAAGTTGTAAGATTTTACTAACAGTTTATTAAAGCACACACTATCCAGGCTAGAGACTGTATCTCTCAGATTCTTTTGTAGCTAGTTACTGTCATGCACTTAGGCATAGTTTTAAAACAGTCATACATTTCTCTAAAATGTTGCTTAATTTTGCATACATCTGAGTATTTGTGTTGCTATGTTTTTGGTAATTTTTTTTTTGCTTCCAGTCTCAACTATGTGTTGTTGATATATTTCTATATAAATAGGCGGGAACTATTTCATTCACTTTGATTTAAGTCTGACATAAATGCAGTATGATTGAATTAAAATATTCTATTCCAGGCCTCTACCAAGTGGATATTGGATTCATTTCTAATTATACAAATCTATGCAAATACACATGAGTATATACTGTGTATATTGATGTGTTTCTGCATATATACAATTCACACATATTACTGTAATAGATAATATTTTAATATCTTTTTTTAAAGAATGAGTTGCTCTACATGGTATTTGTGATTTTTATTTTATTCAGGAGTCACAATCCCGAAGCATTTTAAATTCCTTTCTCTGCTTTGGAGATTTTAGATCCCATAAGTAAAATGATTCTCAAACCCAATCTTACATGAGAATAAAACTGTGACTACAAATTCTGAGTGATCCTCTTTCTTCCACTAAGAGCCAAGATCAAGACAAATATGTGTCTTCAACATTTCCTTCTGATGGGCCCTTTATTCAGATGATAAAATTGCTATTGTTTGATTTGGAAAAATCTCAGCTATTAATTAGAGTTCCTCACTAAAAGGGAAATTGTCTCAGTGACTGTCATAAATATCTGCTCCATTTTGTAGTGAGCCTTGTAATTCAACTTGGCATTTCAAAACCAACTGATACTGCAGAAGCAGCTTACTGGCCTTACATATTTCTATAGACATTGTCTTACAACTTTCTCTGTTTTCAAATTTAAACACATTTAAAATTAGCCCTTACTGTAGTAAAAGTTACATTTTCAAGTGTAATTTACAAGAGTTCTATATGAATCAAAAAATTTAACACACAAAGACATGACTTGAACTTTTAGCAATATAATGAAGCTTTGTTGAACTCTCAATGTTTTAAGAAACTGTCCCTTCTGATACTATTTTTTGCACATGAACATGCTTTTAGTGAATTGTATGTATAGCAGCATAGCATATTTTATTTTTAAAAGTTTAACATGTGTAGTAGAAAGTGAACAATTAAAGAAAAAGTGTAACATCATATTAAATTTTGCAGTGAATAAAATGTCCTATTTGTTGGTCATTAGAGCATCTCAGGTGGTGTAGGAATGGGAGGATCATTAAAGTCCTCTAGCTCTGAAGTCCAAACTCAGATGAGCAGGGCCTGTTCTACCCATTATGTGCGTGACACTCTGCAAAATGCTGCAGTTGCCAACATGGATGGAAGTCATTATGAGATTTGTGGATGGACTAGGAACTATTTTACAGCAATCTCATTCACGTCTGACTCTACCCACTACATCAATCACTGTGACTGTAGGACATGTTATTAGACTTTCAGGTTTCTCATGTGTAAATAAAGGGTAGTCATACTTATCACATATATATTTGGAGGATTAATTGGAGCAATAAATACTGAAGAGCTAGAACACAACCCTGACACACGGTAGCCATCATAGTAGTTACATGACTTCTCCAAAGTAGGAATCAAGTAAAATTGTTTTTATAAATGAGAGAAATCAGAGAATTCATGCTAGAGAGAATTGACAATGAAACTTAGACAAATATTAGATTTTACTTTTCAAGTATTTTTCAATCATTGTAGTATGAATATAATTTATTGGGATGAAATTGTTGATGAATCAACCAAATAAAGACTAAATGTTTCTTAATCTAATATAAACTCATTATTTCTTTTAGACAATAGGACTTTGGAAAGAAAATGATATAGCTCATTTCTTACCTCATTTTACTAAAATGTAGTCCAATTGGATTAAAGACTTAAATGTCACAAAATTTAAAGTAAAGATATAAAGATATCAGAAGAAACTTGCATAGATTTTAAAAATGACTTTCATGTGAAAAAAATTGCCTATGCAAGACATAATGTTTAAACACCACAAATAGATTGAAAAGTATGAAATATAAAAATTTCAAATTTTCAGACATAATAAGGCACAAAGTAAAGTTAGAAACTTGGGGATATTTTTGGCAGTATGTGTGATTTGATAAATGGAAATTAGTATACGAAGAGCTATTATAAGTAAGTACAAATTTAACTTTGAAGTTGGCAAGAACATATGATTTGACCTTAGAAAATTAAAGGAAATGAACAATAAGCATTGTAAATATACTCATTTATATCCATGATTTTTAGAATATAATTTCAGATTATGATGCCGTATTCTACAGCTCAAAATGTTAGACAGCATTCATATGATATTTTGTAATGTGGGTATTTGTGATGAAGCAGATATATCCATTCACTTTCCTCAATTGTAAATAGGTGAAATTAAATTTGGAATCTCAATATAAAATTTCACAATGAACATAATCATCATTGATAGTTTCTCAGTTCACAAACGCAAAGCTCCATGCCTTCAAGAGTTTTCATGGTAGGATTTTCTAAATAGATTTTTCTTAAATCCTGCATAAAAGTTTCTCTTAAATCCTGCATAAAAGTAAATATTAATGATAGAGAAACAATATAACTGCTAAGGCTAGTTATATCTTTTAAATGTTTGTCATTATCTTTAAAGTCAATGGGATAGAACAACAATGTGGAGATTTGGAGTGATTTACAAGTTAGTTTGATGTGAATAAAGTAATATGTGCACAGATTTTATTTTAAACTTCTATTTACGTAGGGAAAAGTAATTATAAATATGGCTATAACATATGTAATAGAAATTTTCTTTTAAAAGTTTTGAGTGAAATCAGGGAGGTGAATACTTCTCTTTAAAGCTTTTCTGAACTATTTGAAAGTTCCTCTATTCTCATGTTTGTTTTATTTTTTTAAAAATATTAATGGAGTTCATACACTGAGTTTTTAAAAAATGTAAATTATAAAGGACTAAAATTAAATAAAATCTCACCAGCAGGCTGCAGATCATTTTAAGTGTCCTAAATCATGAGCATACTATGTACTTTTGAAAGTGAACTGTCACAGCGTGCATTCTTGAGATGAATTGATGCAATGAATGCATTGATATCTAAATGAGTTTTATTTTCCCCTAGACAAAGCCAAAGGAAGATCAAGAGCAGGGACCCATTTTGATTCAGCCCGGAGACGGAGCCGAGCCGTCCTTTATCACATCTCCGGGCACCTGCAAAGAAGAGAAAAGAACAAACTGAAAATAAATAATGTAGGTGATGTATGTGTACACTATGAATGCTAGAGTTTTCCTTGGTGGCAATGTTTTATTCACTAAAGATAGGCTCCGATTACTCATTTATTGGCTTTCCTGGATTTTTTTTCCACTTTGGTTTGTGCTTGCCTATAAAGAACAAGCTGGGAAAGGCCAGCAGTCCTGAGACATTTCTGTAATAAAAGTGCTTAATCATAAGGTTATCACAGCAGAGATCAGAATATTACTGAAATGCAGCACAGTATAGCACTGCGGACACGCAAATGGGGACATACCAGTTACACTTGAGGCAAGATAATGCAGAAAGATAATGCATACTCATATTTTATTGGTTAAAATTTCTCAAATTTAATGTTAGTTTCACGTATTTTGTACTTTATGTCATTTTTCTTAATGCTTTTACCCGGAGAGACCATGAACAAATCAGTTATTATTCTTTTTTACAAAGTTATATTTCATACAAAACCCAGTTGCACCATTAGATTATGTGCTTTACAATACACAGTTTTGCAAAAATGTTGCGCTTTTAATGAATTACAGCAAAGCTGCTTTCTGAAAACTGATGTTTATCTGTCAAAAGCCACAGGGAATAACTGTGCCTATGAAACGTGTTTCCTTGACGAATTTTGCTTGGCACACAACTTCATGGATAAGAACATTTGGTTGAATTTCAGTGCAGAGACTTCACCTTCATTGAGAAATCCAGAACAATGACTGTTTAGATGTAGATAATAAAGTTAAGTTTTCAAATGACGTTAGTGTAGTTAATTTGCAGTGTCGAGTTCTGATCACATATCTGGGGAGTTTGTGACTGTGACTGGCAGGCTGAATACTTGGTCTAATTTGCCAGTGACATTAGAAAGAGTTAAGGCAAGCAGCTAGAGCTATTTTGGATTTGATCTACAGTAAGAGCCAGCAAATCTGGGAGTGAAGGACATAGGAGAGTCTCGAGCATCTTACTGTTACAGAGTAAGCCTTGCACCTACCTAATCTTATGTACAACTGTTTGATTAAAATGGCCCTTGCATCAGTCATGAGAAGTATCCATTTCTCTCTGACTGTTGTGAGTAAATAAAGATACAAAAACCTAGGGTGTAGAGAGTTGGTATGGGAGGGCTGCACCCTGCTTTTGCTTCAGTGTGATTCTTTTCTAGAAGCTAAAACAAGATGTTTAGATCTAGTTATACTCCAAAGACCGTAAGCCATGGCCACACATCACTTCTGAGAGTCACACGGTGATTTGTGATGTTGTTGTTTTGACTTCATGTGCATGTTTTCTAGGGGCACCTGTACCCTAGTGCCGGGTTAACTTCCTGAGAATCCAGAGAGAGACCTAAGAGTGCGTACAGCTTAATCTATGGATCCTTCCCCTGTTTCCTGTTCACATTTCCTTTAAGTCTCCAAGTCAGCCTTCATCACAGTAGACAAGTTCTTGGAAGAAGAAAGTCTTCCAACTTTCAATTGAGTAGTAGCATTTAGTCGAGAATCATTTAAATGTTGTAAGCAAGTATCAATGAGCTTTACAATTCATGTGCTGAGCCTATTGTCCCTTTATATTTAATTTATATCCAATAAAGTACAAAATATTACTTAAAATCTGATTTTAAAAACTCATAGCTCACACTGCTTAGCTAACTGCTTAATTACCCTCCATTTCAAAAATATAAACATCAGGGTGGAGCATTAAAGTAACACATAGTAATTAAGGGTGTCTAATCAATACAATAAATCTGATAAGTACAGGTAAATCTTACTTCTGAAGCAAAGTGTGAAAGCACTTGGTCCTCTTTACCATCCCTTTTCAAGAACAGTATAGAATGTCAAATGAGACAGATGGCAGAAGGAGAGAAGACAGGAAGGAAATGACCTGCATAGTTTACTGGCTAAACAATATCTGGATGGATTCTGGCTGTAATAACATTTGCATAGATGAAAAACAATTTTAATATTTTTTAAAGAGAATAAGAAAATAATTCTTCGATAAAACATTAGAGATAATACAGAGTTTCACTACACAAGATGGTAGGATGTATTTAAAAATTCCTTTCACTTCATATTATTTAATTCTTCCATCTAGAAAGGACTAGGTATATTTTTATTAGTTCCATTTTACTGATGGGAAAAAAAAAAACGAGCTTATTTAAAATCTTGAAAGAAGCACCGGCTCTGGGATTCAGCTCTTAATGTTGTAACTCAAGGCCACTGCTCTGTCCGCTGTCTTGCCCCTTCCCTGGAACAATTCTATGGAATGGGCAGTCAGACATGCTTCAACCAAAGACAAATGAATGCTTCGGGCCATTGGCAGGGCTTGAGGACAGGAGCACCACACCTTTAATCCTAGCTCTAACTTTTCCAGGTACATCTTGGGAAAGGTACTTACTTTCTGCCTTCCTTGATTTCTTATTCTGTCTATTAAATCAGAAGGAGATGATACAGGTGTTCGCAACACAACAGAATATTATAAAGGTCACATGAGAGCCTGTGGAGCTTGAAAGAAGTGCCATAAAAGCAAAAATACCGCCAGCAGGCTACTGTGCTCGTGGTCCTCAAAGGCGTACACTGGCTTACCCAGTGTGGCAGACAATTTCGTCCTTCTTTGTTGATTCAGGTGATGGTTTCAAAGGAATGCTGCAAAAATACTTTAAGAAGCACCTACTTTAATTAGTCATTAGGGTTAAAGTTTGTGTTTCAGTAATCCACAGGGGAGAGGCTAAACAGTTAAAACTTGACCAGTACTAAAGAAATAAGCTTCAAAATTAAAAAGTACTGTACACCTAAGATCTTGATAGGTTAGTTGTATTATTTTGCAGGCAAAATGTATATATTATAAATTACATGACTCCTTCACTTCCTTCTAACAGCACAATTTTACAAATGTGCACATTTTTTTTTTTACAATTATATGACTTTCTCTTCCAGTGAAAGCAATCTCGATAAAATTTTGAAATACTGTGGTAGAAGTAGAGAAACATCTCTTTCTCCACCTAGATGATTGTGTAAATGTATGTGAAGGCTTTAACGATTCAAAATGTAGTCTAACCTAAGATGTACTGAAGTCAGTATAATTTAAAAATAATATATTTTAAAGATAATTCAGTAATTGTAAATAACATGCTTTAAATAGCCTATAAAATGATATTGTATGATTAATTTTCTAATTTGTGGACATAATGAGTATATCACTGCATTTTTACATCAACTCCATTAATTCTTCGTGTAATCAGTATAATCCAAATAAACGCTTTAGTTTATGAGTTTTGCAAATCCTCAACATAGAATTTGCTTTTCCCTTCAACAGAGTAAACTTTAGTTACATGATGATAAACTATATAGATAGAAAATGAAATGCTCCCCGTGGCTTCTGATAATTTCTTCTTGCAGTAAATATTTAGAGAAAAATGATACTGGAACGTATCTTGTGCTGTTATCTTTGGAAGTGGCTTGTGGAGCCTGAGATGAATACCATAAACCTCAACTCCCTCTTCTGTGTTCCTGCCTGGGTTTTGATGTCAACCCCAACAATTTCTCTCCTTTTTTCAGTTTTGTGCCAAAGTCCACCTTTCAGACTGGTCTCTCAAAACCTGAATATGAGATAAAATACATAGGTCAAGTCTCAAAGAATTGCATGATACTAAAGAGCCATCTGGAAGTAGTAAAGCAGTGTCCCTCATGAAGTAGTGGCATTATAGATGCCTGTGTAAATTGAGAGAACACATTACTAAGGAGCAGAAACCAGCCCTGGGAATGCCTACCAAGGAGACATGCCAGAGAGCAGGCGTCTTCATTGCAGATAGCAGAACTACAGTATTAAATCACAAATAGTCACCACCAAGAGCTAAGTGTCTGTGGTCTCTCTTACTGCTTTTTGAATTTGAACACATTATATTAACCTACCCCTCCTTCAAAAGTTGAGACAAGAAGTCAACACTGTGACCTGCAAGTAATATGTATTCTAGAGCTTTTAACTGTTTTGTTAATTCAACTTAAGTTTTAAATTTAAGTTCTCATTTCCATCTTATATTTCTCATTACTTGAGGTCAAAACAAGGTCTGCAAACACAGCTCACAGTCTTGTCAAATTTTCGCACACACTATTGCTGGGTCTTCCTTTGTCTCATAGTAATAAGGGAATTCCTTATCCATTGCACTGCTTTGAAAGTGCGTTTTTGAAGTGCGTTTGCAGTTATCAAAAACTCCAGATAGCTGTTCTGCATTTAATCAATTGTACAGTAAACATTACCTTCTTCCTACCATGACTTGAATAATAAACCTTAAGTAACTTTCTCACTTTACCACTTACCAAGGGCTGGCCACTCTCAGACCACATCCACGTTGATCAAAATTAAGAGGTTTGAGGTCCTCCTTGGAAAACTACCAACACCCACAATGCAAGAGTGCATGTACAGGCCAGGGAATATAGCTCAGTGGCACAAGCGCCTGCCTGGCAAGGGCAAGGTCCTGAGTTCAATCCCTGGTACCAAAAAAATAAATAAAGAAAAATAAAAAAAGAGTGTATGTGCAGCCTGGTGATATCGTAAATGAAATATAAGCAACTGAGAGATTGGTAATCTCTATGCTTTCTTTTAAGAAAAAGCAATCTTTGCTGACATCAATAGAATCTCAAGGCAAATATATTCTTTAGCAAATAAATATATTCTCTAGCAAATAAATATATATTCTTTAGCAAACAGATATATTCTTTAGCAAATAAATATATTCTTTAGCAAAGAAATGCCATCTACAAATCATAAGAATATAGAATGTCCTTATGGCAGTAGGCACATAGACACATCCTTGTATTTATAATGAGTATAGGGCATAAGATTATACTTGTAACTGTGGATATCTTTAGAAGACCTTGTAGGTCTGTGTTTTTTAATGAACATGTCTGGATTGCTCACTTAACATTCATGATGAAATTCTGCACATTCCTGTTATTTGTAAAAAAAGAAAAAACCCTGCTTAATTTCAGTACAGCCACATATTGCATAATGATAGAGACACATTCTAAGAACTATGTCTCCAGATGATTTCACTGTTCTGTGAAATTCAAGGAGTTTCATTACACGAGCCTGGATAGTACAGGACAACCGCCAGACGAAGCCTCCTGGTATAGTCAGCACAGGAAGGAAGGTAGACACGTCTGAGGTTGCCGCTAGTATAACACTGTGTGCTGTTTTTCAGTAATTTTTATTGTACAAGTGGAAATACACTCTAAAAATAACAATGAAAACATAAACTGGTAACATTTATTGCTATTATTAAGTATCATGTACGGTATATATTTGTCTGTGCTATACTTTTATATGACTGGTAATACAGTAGGTTTGTTTGTAGCAACATCACAAAAAGGTGAATAACGTGCTGGGCTGCAACATTACAATGGTTATAGTGTCACTAGGCAATAGGAATGCTTCGTTTCCATTGTAATCTCGTGGGACCTCATCATAGATGAAGGGTGTTGCTGGCTGAACCAGTTATACGACACACGACCCAGTATATGCCTCAAGTTTAAAAGTCACTTGTGAGACACACTGACGTGGTAGGCGTGAATGATCCTCCTCATAAAAGTGTGTACTTCATGCAGTGGGTTCCTTGCTTCTAATATTGTGCTCCCCCTCCCCTTTCTCTTCTTGTCTTTATCCACAGAACGTTTTTGTAGATAAACCAGCATTTCCAGAGTATAAAGTTTCTGATGCAAAAAAGTCCAAATTCATACTCCTGCATTTTAGCACTTTTAAAGCTGGCTGGGACTGGCTTATTCTGTTGGCGACGTTTTATGTTGCTGTGACTGTACCTTACAACGTTTGCTTTATTGGCAACGATGACCTGTCCACGACTCGGAGCACAACAGTCAGTGACATTGCAGTGGAGATTCTTTTTATTATAGGTAAGAATCAGTAGTTGGTTTCCTAAGAGATTTTCATATGGGAATGAAGACTTTTTTGACATGGTCATTTGCATGATCATTTGCATGATCATTTGCATGATCATTTGCATGGACATACCTCAGCCTGGGATGCAGATTGTGGAGAGGCACAGATTTGGATTCTGAAAACCGCCTCTTGCAGTTGTTGCACTGTTCCTTTATTCAAATGGATCTCGAATGATGTTCTGTTTTTCTGTACTTACTTTGGCAAAATGGGATAAGAGAAGACTTAGTGCCTCGTCTGCTTGTGCTTTCACCATCCGTCACTTCGTTAACTATGTAGAGTCAGAGATGGGGCTTGGCAAAAACCCACCTGTAGCACTGGAATGGTCCTGAGCATATGGTTATTCCTTCACATCTTCCCAAGTCCTTTCAGTATGCTGTAGAAGCTTCAGTAAATGACATGATTGCAAAGTAAAGGGTTACATAAGTTGATCAAGATAAGCAGTGGGTATCTGGTTTTGACTAAATGATAGGCCCCCCGTGGCTGTTTGTCAGGGATATTTATCTCAGGATTATTGAAAACCTCCGTTGATGCTACATCTGTTCCAAACTTATAAACTTCTTCCTATTTTCCTGTCTCTTACAGCATAGCGATCAAGGCCTTGTTTCAGTGGCGGTAGTTTGTCTCAGTGAAGCTGTTAAAGCTATGGGGCCAGAGTGTATTCTCTGAGTACTGGTGCATGTTTGCTCTGGATGAGTGTGTGCACTCTTGACGTGACTTGTGCATGCTTGTTGTCATCGTACCTTTTGGGCACTCTGCTCAGGACCCTGTCAAGACCCCCATTTCCACCCCAAAATTGATAGCTGTAGTATTTCAAACCACTAGATGGCAATGTTGTCTATTAGGTAGTTTGGTAAGGCTACACGCTCAATTTAAATTTTTAAATTAAAGATGTTGTTTGTTTAAAAGGTATAATCATAAAGGGAGCTGTTAAATCACTGTTATATGGCAAATGACATCTTTCTGGTTTGAACAAGAGTTAAAGATAAAAATCATAGAAAAACTAGCTGTATCAAATGCCAGTCCACAGTGATTTTATATCCTCTTGCTCTGAGTTTGGTTTCTTCTCCCAAAGATGTTCATGACGCACACATCAGTGATCATCCTGAGGATGCTCTCCATGTGTTCTCAGCAGCTCTTTCCTGAGAACTGCTCAGAGTTCTCAGGATTTGGCCAGTCATCCCATATGTGCAAGGCCAAATTTTCTTCTGTGTAGTCACTAGTTGACAGGTTTCATGAAATAAGAGATGTAAGCATCTGTTTAACGAGTATTTCACTTTGTGCTTAAGGTTGATTTTTTCAATTCTGCTCTGCTAATGGGGCACCATCTTGCCTGAAATTTTCTCTGGATGTTTGAAATAGCATAGACACAGGAGTCGATGATGTCTTACTTTCCTCCATGAGAATTCATACCTATGAAAGAGAAGCCTTATAAATTTTTGTTTGGTTGTTTGTGTTGAGGCTGCCTTTCTCTTCTGAACGGACGGGGACTATTTTGCTCCATAGCAACTACACTTAAAATCCTCTGTGTTCTCTGTTTTCTACTGTGCCAGGCAACAAAGTGTTTCTCTTGATAGGTGATACCGATCCATTACCAGCTACATGACAAAGCAGTGGAAGCCCAGTGCTATTTTCATGCAGTTTAGTTTGTATAAAGATTACTTTAGCATTTCATATTTTTGGTCTGCCAGTTCTATTAGTATCATTCCTGCCTGGAATTCCTATCTTCCTGAGCAGTAAGAAATTCCTTGCTGTGTTCTACTGCTTTGTCTTTGTCTTTAAAAGTACTGGAAGTACATAAATTATGAAGTACTTGAAAAATAGTTTAAACTAACATTTCTCCAAATGAATTTCCCAGAACCTGTACTCTATAAGTTTTTCACAAAGTTGGCTTAAAGATAATTTTTGATAAATGAGTTAAAATACCAGGAATGAAAAAGTACATTGTATCTTTACAATGCTAACAGTGTTTGTACCATTTAATATTTATTAAATTAGTGTGTGTGATTAATTGAAATGTATTTTCAACATATATTTGCTTTCTATTTCTAGAATAGTGTCACTGAAATGGAATCTTACAATCAATTGGTTCACTTTTAGAAAGGTTTGAGGAGGGAAGGTTTTCATATAGTTAAAAGATGATGCCTTCAAAATATTTTGTTATTTGTACCCAGTCCATACAAATATTAACCAACATAGTTATTTTTAAATGAGAAATGGTTAAATAAAAAGCAGAAATATGTAAATGAAGAAGGATTCACAGATGAAATTAAAGCCAGGAAATTACAGATCTTTTTTGGGTATTCACAGTATACTTCAGCATTGTACATCTCTAAGAAATCTTGTGGTAAAAAAATCTAAAGTTGATTAATCCAGCATCTTGCTGGATTTATTTTTATCTCAGAAATCATTTTTCCCAGACCACTTAGTGATTCTCTTTTGGCATGACTGACTAAAAACCATTCTTCCCAGATGGATTCACCATTTGTTTTAAAAAGTGTCTGACTATAATTTTATTAGTCAAAACTTAAATATGAATAGTGGGCTCGAAACTCTCCTAAGTACTCTCTTACTTCTAAATTAAATTATTTTGTAAGCTGCATTAGTTCTCTAAATCAATAGGACGCAGTGCTTCGCTGACTTACAAAGTTAGCCAAGAAAGTTACCCATGTAACTTGAAAACTGTCATATTTAAATCAGCTGCTGATTGAATCAAAGTCTTATAGAAACTTAAAATGAGAGGTAACACAATAGTTATTTAATCCAATCTTTCTTACATTATAGGTGGGAAAACTGAAGCTTAATTATATTCCCAAGGTCACATAACTGACGGCAGATGAAGGTCTCCAGGTTGTTGGAGCAAGTTTCTTGTTTATGAATTTACAGTCAATATGATTCTGTTGTATGAAAACTTTCACTCAATTTGCTTTTTTTTATTTATAGTAATGCAGCAGAAAGTGAGAGAAAGAAGGGCCAACTTGAATCTCTGCAATCTTGGTAGTGGAGCTGTTGTATACCAATGACAAGAGTCATCTGCCTCATTTCCTTAATAAAAACCCAAAGAACCTAACTTTGTGCAGGCAGCAGTATGCCCAGACCAATATGCCCAGACCAAGGAATAAATTTTGAACTAGGTAAACTTAGGCTAATTCCTTCCCCTTCACCTAATTCTGGTATAGGGGTAAGTATGTACTAGTTTTATCCAGTGGAGCATAAATGAATCTTTGGGGGAGGGGGCTTGAAATAATATGAAAAAATGAGACAAGCAGTGGAAAAGATTTTCATCCTCATTCTTCCCCTTACTCCAGGATGTATGAGTGGGGAGGCTATGATGTTACCGGAATCGTCTTGTAATCTTTAGAGATGGCAAGGGTGTAGATGGCAGAGCAGAGAGTCCGAGATGTTGAATCTCCAAACACTATCTTGGGTAGTAAAAATGTTCCTTCTATGGGGGCCACTGTTAATAGTATATTCTGTTCTAATACTTGTATCACTAAAAATACAAACTCACATACACGATTTAATCATTTGTGGCCCCTTCCACTGGGCCATTTTGAAGGCTCTGAGCTATATCCTTTTTAAAGGAAATAGACTTGTTTTTTTCCATTTTATCATTCCACCGTGAGTCTATTTAGGAAGCAACTTGCTCATACTTATTATCTGCTGCTATAGCCAGAAGGCTTAAAGTCAGACTACACCACAAAGTTGTGACTGACTGGCTTCGACTCTCTTAGAATTCCTCAGGGAACTCAGCATCGAAGGAGACATGGCATTAGACTGTGCTTTTAGTTTACTCTGTGTTGACTTTAGTCATAATTCACCAAGTTATTTAAGAGGACTTCCAAAACAACAGATTAGAAAGACCAGTGATGGAAAATATAGCTAAAAACATGACAGCTCGGAATTTCCCAGAATAGAAAAATGCATATAAATCCTGAAATCAAAAGACTATTCCAGGTACCAAACTGGATAAATAAAAACATTTCCACAGCTAAACAGTGAACAGCAACAATGTAAATCATAAAAGATTAAAAATAAAATCTTAACATCTGGTAATCTGAGCAACTTCATTGAAGATAACAATATGTAATACAACAACCACTGTTAATTCCTATCATTTGGTTTGAAACCCCATATCATTTTTAATGTCTTTGGTTTTGTTTGTATTTTGCTATTGATCTTTTCTGAAAACCATTCTCTTTAAAATTAAAAAAAAATTTAAAAATTTAAAACACAAAATCTTAAGTTTTTTATAAGGAAAGAAAATTTACTTATAAAGGGTAAAAATTAGACTGAAATTTGATTTATCAGCAACAACAGAGGCCAAAAACTATGAGATTATCTAGCCTACAAGAAAAAAATACAGGGCTGGGGATATAGCTCAGTGACATAAGGGCCTGTCTGGCAAGCTTGGTCCTGAGTTCGATTCCTGGTACCAAAAAAGAAAAAAAAAAAAAGAAAAAATACCAATTTCCTTTTTTATTCCATCCCTTGCCCTCCCCTTCCCTTTCCATCCTTTCTTCCTTCCATTTTTCCTGTTTTCTTTTCTTTTTCCATCTCTTTAATGTCTTTTTTTTCTCTCAGGTTACTATTCTTGAGGACGGGTGACATTTTTACAAAGCAAAGGAAAATAAGTTTACCACCCACAAATTCCCACTAAAAGGACTACTAAATTATGGAAGAGAAGGGTCCTAATAGGAAGGAGTGAATCCAAGATAAAAGAGAACAAAATTAGAATAGAAACTGATAAAAATATGTTAACAAAATTAGGTTAATTGTTGGGTGGAAAATGGTGCTTTGGTGGACCCAAAAGGGAAAAAAAATCATAGCAGATACTGGGAAAACATATTGATACACTTAGTTAACTATTGACTAAAAACATATTAATGAGTTTTATGTATTCTGAATAGGCAAAAATTAAAATTTTAAACAAAGATGACCAGATGAAAGAAGTGTC